GTCATAACCCAGCTGAACGCCACACAGAACAACAGGGTGGGGATGACAGACCAACTCACCGTCCAGAGAAACCTGATTCCATAAAAAAATATACTTAAATAAAATGTAAATCTCCACCTGGAAAAAAGAAGCAAAAATTAAACTTATTCAATAGAAATAGCTTCTGATTAACATGTGTAACAAAAACTGGAACAATTGTGAAAAAACCCAATTCTGACACCTGAAAAAGCTTTCACCCACCAAATGGTAATCCTTCATTTGTAAACATTTCATGTAAAGATAAACCTGGTTTAAAAGTTTTCACAACACACAAGTTTGCATCAGCAGCCAAGTTTGAAATAAAGTTCAGAGTGAACATGCATCATTCATATGCTTTAATATACAATAACAAGATAACAATAAGATAAATCATTGTTATCCAGAAGGTATCCTAATATATATATTTGTCCCTCTTACCTTGTGGCTTTAAGTAGACAAAACCATACTGGGGGGAAGAATTAATATGAAGGAAGTTACTGGAAAGGAAAGAAACCAGCACAGAAGAAATAACAAGTCAGGAAAAAATATTCAGATGCTACTACACTAACAGAGGTCACTGCAAGCATTCAGAAAGAAACAAAGAACAAAAGAATGAACTGAAATGAAATGAAAAGAACAGGGTTCCAAGAAGTGTCTGTTTTAAAAGTATATACATCATCACATAAGCCATAAGGTCATTCTGTCTGGGAACAAACCACTGGTCTACAACATAACTGTGCAGTCAGCAGACTTGTCTTCAGTATAATTATTCAAATTGCACACATGCATATGCATACATGCACACACATGCACACTGAAGTGCTACATTTGCATTAAAGAGCTGGTCCCCTATCTAAAGCTGCTCATTGTTGACAAGAATAACCCTTGTACGTGTGTTCTGGTCTCTCATGCATATCTACAAAATATTTTAGAGTACTGAATTCTAAAAAGCCCTCCTAACTCCTTTCATTTGCTTATATAAAAATTTATCTTCCACCAGCCAACCCCAAGACATTAGTTGAAATTAGCAGCTGACCACAGTTTCAGTTAGAAAAGAGAACATACAGCTGGAGCTTTAAGATGAAGCCACATCTTGGCCTCTGCACAAACATACATGCTCTCACAAAATTTAGTGAGGGTGGTGGGTTTGTCCTGGTTCCTCCGATGACGAAACCAGCGCTGGATCTTTCGAACATCCCAGTCTAGCTGCTTTGACAAGCCTTCTAACCTTTTTCCATCTGGAGACTGAAGGAAAATGAAACAAATGTCATTTCTCCTACTTCTCAACCTACCTTCAGTGTGAGATCTCCTCTGTATTATGATAGAAATGATGCAGAGATAACAAAAAACACACTAGGAAAGCATCACGTACAGACAAGAAGCAGGAACCCATTCCCACAAGTGTTCATTCAAGTTTAACCTTCATAAGCCACCAATTACTTGATTATTCAGAATGCTTTTGGTTTAACATTTCCTCTTCTATTTTGTCATTTGACAGCACATGATGACAAAGAATGCAATTGTTCAGTTTCTTAATTTGAGAGGGGAGGAGTTTTTAAAATGTCCTGTCCTACCTGTTAAAACTTGCACATCAATTCTAACAGTCCAGAACTCAGGAAGACCAAAGTTGAATATATTTAAGGGTTGATACTCACTGCAAGTTTAGGGAAACTCTGAAGTAAGAGTTGGTTTAACATACTAGATATTCGTATATTCCAAAAGGATATTGTAGAGATGGCTTTCTTTCTGTTATCACAGTTTATAATAAAATTAAACTTGAAAATTGAAATAATTGTATGATAAAGAATATATCACTGTTCTCTGACTGAAAACTCTACTGGCAGTTTATTTGAATAATGACATAAACGGATTTATAAGAGACAAAGTGAACAAAACCTGATAACTACCTCTAAAATGGCCCAGTGGTGAGATAAGCCACGTTAGTTTCAGACCAGTGTCCTTTTAACAAGCTCTGCCAGGGAGCTCTTACAACTGAAAGATGATAAACACATTTTACTACTTGAGTTACATACAAACCCACAAAACTATGCAGAATGCTGATTTAAGAAAGAGTCACCAGACTGTTCAACTGAAAAGCAAACTCATCTGTCATTTGATTTTGAGTATTGAGACCATGACCTTCCTGTAATTCCATCACAACCAGATCTCTCCGCACTTGACTCAGGTTCAGGCTACCTTACACTTCTGCATTGGAAGTGAACTTGCCTCAAAGGAGAATTTATAGAGCTCTGATTTCAGAACAGCAAGGAGATCTTTCCCCTGCATCAGTGCTACCCTATATTCTGATTCTCCAAGAGCAGACATAAGCATACTGGCACAGTTAAATGCACAACTGTTTTCATAAGCGAGATGAATTCTGCACAGCACGCATCCTCATGGGTTTCCTAAACATTAATTCCAAGGACATCCCCTACATAAAAGTCCTCCCCACAAACAGCATCAAATCATAGGGACTTTTTCAGTTCACATGTCATTCTAAATACCTCAGAACTTTAATGTTCCCATGAGGTGAGTTTTCGTAAGGTTTTTATAGAATTTCCCTTCCATTTACTGAGCACTTGATCTGCTCGGCTCAGAATGAAGTTCAGCATTGCCAAATCAGAACAGAAAACCTTCCATTTCATTATCTCTAATGAAAATCTATCACGCCGTCTGCGGGGATTTCACTATCAACGTTTACAGAGTACAGACAGCGTGGAATTCTGTAATTCTGAAGTGAAGGAGCACTGTCAGCTTAAGTGCAAGAAAGGCCATGAAAACAATCAAAAGAAACACCTACTGTCAACTTTAAATGTCCTACCCTTTATCAGGGCACACTTCTATTGACTGAATGCTTTCCTTAAATAACTGACTTCCACCGTGACAGCTGTTATCCAGTTCCACAGTAGATGAGGAAAAATAAGAGGAAGGTATTCACACAACTGGCTGATAAAACCAGCAGAGGAGCAGATCTCAAGGAAAAGAGTAGCACTTTTCCAATAGAAAGTGAAAGATACTGAGGAATTTCTTGTTAAACCAAGAGTTACCATCTGTTATAGGGGTTCAGGCAACTAAAGGAAGAAGCCTCGTACCTTTCTAAAAAGAGAACATTTTTTTTATTCAAAAAAAAAAAAAAGATTCTTCTGTGCACAAAAGCACAGGTCAGCCATGAAGAGAATTTACTTTGCTACAAGAAGGACATGCCAGAGGCAAAGTAAAATAAGAAACAGCGCACTCATTGTGTATGCACAGTGTGAAATGTCTTTCTCTGAACTAGAGAAGTGGAAGCAAAAAGCCCTCCCTCCCCACACACATTCTTACTTACAGGCCTCCATTTCTAGCAGAATGTGAAGCGTGACTCACCTTAGTGATGGATGTAAACACTTTCTCTAAAATTGCATTGGGCTGGGCTCTGTGAGGTCCACTGTCTTGAATGCCAAGGTTTATGGCACATGGCTTGGCAATAAACCTGAAAGAGTTCCAAAGAAAGATCTAGATTATAAAACAAGATACCAATTTCCCTCCTCTGCCTAAAACACGAGGACTCTTGACTTGTCACCAGCTGCAAAACCTCTCCAAGAAGCTTTTGAAGATCTCCACTCACTTCTCTTGAAGAAAATTCACAGATGAAGTAGTATATTTTATTAGTCCAAATGGTAATTGCAGACAGCACATACAGTACACATATCTAAAATGAAAAGTGAAATCTTAATGTCCTTGGCTTCTAAGAATCAGAATGTGTTCCCCCAGGGTGACTGTCATTACTCAGCAATAAAATAACAGATCACCAATGCTAGAGCCATTGTAGCCCTATAAATAAAATGCTTTATTTCCAGAAAGTGCCTCAGTGTCACTCAGCTCAGAAAAAAGGGAAGTTCAAGTGACACAATTCCACAATTCCTAAAAGACACACAGTTTTGGAAATGTTCTGGTTTTGGGTTTTTTTTTGTCTTTGGGAAGAATAAAGTGGCTTGTTTCATTCGGGAGAGGGAGGGAGACATGAGAAGTCACTCAGTCTGAAGGCAAATGGTCTCAGTATCTCACTCAGTCCTGAACGCCATCGTGTATTCCAAAAGCTGACCTAACACCTTGTGAATTTTAGAGCACACAGACACTCTGAAAACAAGTCAGGTTTTGCAACTAAAATGAATACATACATGTTCAAAAATTATTAGGTTTTGCTGTACCTTTGTGTGAAAATGGGCACAGGATTCTAAGGAAAATGAAAATACATGAATTGTTTCCTCTCCTGTTGGTGGGCAAGAGAAAAGGGTTTCAAGAAGCACTTTTTATTATTTTTTTAATCAATTATTTTGAGAGAGACAGAGCAATGAACCCCTTTCTCAAAACCAATTTTGAAAAGGACCCAACTTTTGCATCATTAAATCTATTCTGCTTTGAAGCAGACATTGTTTCAGAGACAACTGAATCGAAGACAACAAATTACACACATGTACTCCATTTAGCAGACTCAGAGTGCCATCAAGCAGAAAACACTGCTTTTCCCAACCCCTACACTTGTTACCCTTTCTCCTTGTGCTTAAAAGGAAAGATTAAAATTCAGGAGAATCACAACTATCCATGTTAGTACTTCAGTAACAAACAGTTATGACCACGTTTAAGAACAGACCCAGGTTGTGGGGTTTTCCCCTTGAGAAATTACAGATCGACTCATGACTAATCCTAAAGGAACTCCCCTGCTCTCAGAAAATACTAAACAAGTAATAGACACCACGGCCCCAGGTTTCACTGTCCTGCCCCATTTCTTCACACATCCTGTTCATTCAACAGTCACAGCTTTAAATAAAAAATAAAAAAAATTAAAAAAGGAAAGGGTGATTTCCTTTTAGCTCAGCTCAAAAGGCTCACTGCTTCCTCTAGAGTCTAGACCACCAGCCAGAAATCATGTCCTGATGTTATGAAACTTTTGGCTAGACCCTCATAAAAGTGTATACATCTTTATACTCTTCTTTCCTACAGGATATACCAAAACAACAGCAAAGAAGTACACATGTGCAGTTACAGGATGCCAAATATTTTTATTTCATTTCTGAGAGACAGTGCTTACAGCTCTATTGAAAAAAACCTCCTGGCCTGAAGATACTCAGTTTGGGTCAGTTTCCTCATCTAAGAGAGGAAATCTGAAAAAAATCTAAAAATCCACACATTCAATTAATTTATTATCAAGAGAGTCTTCTTTTGTTTGCAGAACAAGTGAAGAAGAGAAGGAATGATTAAGAAAGCTCATAGTGATTCATACAAAGCTTTGGCATTGTTCTGGAATTCAAAAGCTGAAGCAAAGAAGAAACAGCATCTCCTCAGGAAAAAAAAAGATGCAGAAATAATTCACTTTGTGACCTAAAGATTGCAAAGAAAAAAACAACAACAACAACAAATTAAACCCAAACCTCAACTTTGCACAGAACTATTCCTGAGTAGTAGGCTTTGTGAAAAAATACAAATGTTTAGGGA